AGGCTCCATTATTCGTTGATGACGCTACCATGGACGAGGATGAGGATGACGATGGCACTCAACAGTATGTCTATACTGGCGCCTAGTCAGGGTTTGAGCGTCATGAATCGGTGCCTGAATTGCCGTCTCCGGAGGCTGAACGTATTATGGACGACCTTCCGGTAGTAAAGAAGTCTAGGAAGAGAGCGATGAAAGGCAAAAGAGCTGATTCTATGATCCAGCCGCCTCAGCAGCCTCGGCTTCAGGACCATATAGATATCCCCGATGCGGATAAATGGCATATCCCCGGTCAACCAATCCTACCTGCAAGAGCGCTAGGGGCCAGATTCGGCGATCTAAGGAGACTTCATGACGATGTGCTACGGATAGAGAAATGCCTCATCGCCTCGAAAGATCCAGGATACCCACTCTACGTGGTTAATGTTCTGCGGCAATTGTTGTACGTCGACTGCTTCCCCGCGGATAAGTTCTTCCTTCGATTCGATTACATATTTGACATGTTTCACGTGAAGAAGCTGGATTTTACGTTTGTCCGCCTTTATGCCTTGCACATGAACTACATCATCGGGGTTGAGCAGATACCTCATATATGTGTTGCTGAACCGTACTACATGCACGAGGGCTTCTTGAGAGTCTGCGCAAAGCACCGTGAATACGTGAGGGAATACATCATCAGTTTCATGCTCACCAATAAGGACAAGGAGGCGATTCTCGTGCCTTATCATCCCGTGTAAGTCATCCGCGCAGATATCCTTCCTTCGATTTCAATCATTCATTTGCACGATGGAGGCTAATTAATTTGAGGTGTACTTATTTTGCGCAGTAGCGGGCACGCCGTCCTCATCATCCTCTACCCCTGATACTCTCACGCTCTTTACTTGGACTCGTCGAAGAACATTCACAAAAAGGATTACACCCACATTAAGGATGTTCTCGACAGTGATATGTTTTACTACCAAGCACGGGGTGGAGAGGTCAAGGACAAGAAGAGAAGGGGCGGCAGGCTCGCCTTCGGCCATAAGACCGACTTCTGCTGCATCCAGCAACCGAGTGATTCTCTTAATGATGGATTCTATGTCCTACACCACATGCTGGAGTAGAGACGGGATCACCAGAACCTTAGCATGTCACCTAGATCCGGCGATGCCCATATTCTGCAATGGGCAAAGAACGTAGGAGATATCGAGGATCATCGACTTCGAGCTGAGTTCTATAACATCCAGCGCGAACTTGCCCAAATCATCATGAAGGAGGTCGTCGGAAAAAAGGGATGTTCTACGAAGAAGGACAAATGTCGCGGGAAGACGTCCGAACATGGTAGCCTCTCAGCGTCTCGACATGAAGCCTTTCACTAAGCTCGGGGACTATCTCCCTGACATCGATGGATGGCACGACATGTTGGAGTGATTGTCGATATATGACAATGTGTCCGTTTAGTCCATACTTTCTGTATGACAAAACTTTGAGGTATGCACGGCGAAACTTTATTTTTGATGTAATTAAACCGTCCTCCTCCTCGACTAGCGAAGATCACTCTAGTTAGGGCATTTTGGGTACGATGAACTTTGTTATTTATGCTTATGATATGTTGTTTCTATTTTTGCCAAGTCTGTCTCTTTCTGTTGCTCAACTATATATGTTGCATATCATCGACTCATGTGACGATGCAGGTGCATAGATCATCGATGGCGAAGAAGTGCTATGCCAGGAGTATATATACGACGAGTGGCCGGAGTGTCAGACCCAGGTGTACCGGTTTCCGGTTTCCGAGTGACAGGCAGTAGTTAGTTTAGGTTCACGCTAATGCGAGAGAGGGATACGAACTCATGTACTGCATAGTTCCGCTCTCACTCGAAGTGATAATTCTTCTCGCATATATCATTGTTTAGATGGATGATGGTGTATTTGCAAGTAATCGAGACTTGCATCGCTATTTTCAAGATGATGACGAGAGACCACTTTGTGTTGGATGATGATTATGATGATGACATGATTTGATGAGACTAGTTGTATGTATATGCTATGATTACATTTGTATGTGTATGATATGCTAAAGATTATTGTATAAAGCCTATTCAAATACAAAACAAATATGAAAAAAAAACTAAAAAGAACCCCGCTTTACATTTTCTTACACTAACCTACTTTACTTTTGTTTCTCTACTCCACCAGTGTCCCCCAAAGGTTTTATTCTCCTCTTTTCTTGGCCGATCCATCTCCGTACGTACGATTGTTTCCAGTTGACATGCACAAACTGGGCACAACATCCTTTAAACCAAGTCAAAGAGTCTGAGAGAGTACAGTTGGTCCGTGCCTTAGCCCGGTGGTACTTAGCTCTTTGCACCATCGCATGCGTCATCACAAAGAAATTGCTAAGAAAGAAGTCGTCCAACCAAGATATCTCTTTGTGTCTCTACACTAGATCTCGATCTTTACCCTTGAAGACAACAAAATCGAATACGCTCCAAATATTCCTTTCTCTCTGTGTAGGGACTCAGTCAAGGGCTATGTAGGAGTATGTATGAGCTCATGCCCTTTGATTTATTAGTTTCTCTTCTATAACCTATGCTATGCACACGCGCGTGCGGCCGGCTACTGTTCTTGCATGCGATTAACCTATGCATGCTTTCCCATGCGCACAGACAAATGAACACTTATATTAACTCGTTATATACCTTCTTAGTCTAGTCATAGTGGGGGTATCATATACTAGTATCATGCATGTGATACTAGTGTATGATACTATATTTGTAGTGCATGGTATCATAGATTAGTATCATATTTATTGTCTTACATGACACATACTTCCTCCTTTCCCGTTTATAGGGCTCGTCTCAAAAAAATCTGTTTTTCCGTTTTATAAGTCTCAATTCTACTATACTCCCTCCTTTCCGGTTTATATGGCTTAATTTGAAAATCTCTTCAGCCAAAGTAGATGATGAATGGTGGAATTAATTTCGTAGTTTACAAAAGTAATTAATTAGTACTCTCGTTTTTCTTAAAAAGTTATGTATACCGATGCATTAATTACACCACATGCATGCAAGACCACAAAATGACCAAGAACTTCTACATGCATTGATGAGTTCTTTCTTCATCCTTGCATGCAGTGATTTAATACTCCTTGAAATTTGAACATGTGATGGTAAGTACTCCCTCCTTTCTGGTTTATAGGGCTCGTCTATTTTTTTTTGTTTTTCCGTTTTATAAGTCTCAATTCTACTACTTACCATCACATGTTTAGATTTCAAGGAGTATTAAATCACTGCATGCAAGGATGAAGAAAGAACTCACAAATGCATGTAGAAATTCTTGGTCATTTAGAGGCCGTGCATGTATGTGGTGTAATTAATGCATCGGTATACATGACTTTTTGAGAAAAATGAGAGTACTAATTAAGTACTTTTGCAAACTACGAAATTAATTCCACCATTTATGATCTACCTTGGTTGAAGAGATTTTCAAATTAAGCCCTATAAACCGGAAATGAGGGAGTAGTAGTATAGAATTTATTATGATATGGTATCATAATATGATACTCAATCATTTCTTTCTTCATTTAATTCTATGCCATTTTATCAAAATTGCCTAATTGGCATGCATGATACTAGTTATGATACCCCCACTATGACCAGCCTTATGTACTACTTAGATTCTTAAAAATTTGCTCCATTAAAGATGACGAAACCTAGCTGAACCCCTATATTTAACTCTATTTTTTTGACAAACTAATCTAGCCTTTGTTACATACATTTTAAATAATTGCATGATATATCATCAATCAATCGAATGATTTAAATTCAACACACGCAATAAATCAACCATAAACATGCATATAGTTCATCTAATCGAGCAATCTAGATTAAAACATGCATAGAGTTCATCCAAAAGATACCACATTGATCAAGTTTGATCCAAAATCATTCCAACATAGCATGTCGTGTGTCATGGATCGAGCCCTACCACAGACATGCTTCGTGCTCATCAACTCAAGAATTTCATGCTCATCACATTCAAAGAAAACATCACCTCCATGGACACCACCACCATCACCCTCATGGCCACCATCGATCATCACCAAACGGGAGACGTCCAACTGGGCTATGATCTCGGAACGAGTGAGCTCCCAATACTTTCTTACCATGGCATCCGTCGTGCTTGGGTCCATGAACATGATAACCCTCTCTTTGGGTGATTCATCGCCTCGATCGGCTTCGCGGCCCGTTTGTCGTTGGCCGGAACAAGGGGAGGGTGACATCCCATCATCGCGGCCATTGCGTTCTTGTCATCTGTCTTCTTGTCGGTCTTTCTTGACGACATGGTGGTCCGCACCATTTTTTTTACCCCAACCTCTCCCTTGGCGCGGGCGGCAGCAGAGGGGTCGATTCCGACAGTATCGCGGTCGGTGTGGTAGCGGAGGAGCCTTCCAGGTGGCAGTGACAGGAAATGGTGACGGCTCGGGTGGGAGGAGGGCCCGAAATTATCCTGAGAAGTGGCACCGGAAGAATAAAAATGAGAGAGTTGGGCTGCCTTTTGGGGGTAACTTCTTAAAATTTTACTCTCTAACAGTTAAGAGTTCGGCTAGGTGCGGCAAGCTCAAATTTACTCCTCTAAAGATTTTTATAAGGGATCGGGCTATAAATGTTATTAGAGGGTACACATGCAAGTACAGTAAACGAGAAGCTGCTGTGAAGAAGATTCGTCAAGATCGACTGTGGCGAGAGAAGTCAGACCAAGCGACTTAGACTGGAATTATGTCACCTCTTTAACTTCTTGCCGAGCCCTCGCCTCGGAAGCTTTCACCTTCATCTATACTTAACTCCAAGGCCACCAAGAGCTTCCTATCCTATATATACAACGCATATGCGCAACACAAGGAAGAAGAATCATTCAAGTGTAGAACAAGGCAGAGTAGAAACAGCAGCAAGCTAGACGTATAAACAAGAACAAAGGCAAGATCGCAGGAGAAGCTTTGCTAGATAGCTAGCTGAGATTGATATATGATGGTGGGCAAGGCGGAGATGAGCGCCATGGAGATGGAGAAGGTGATGAGCGACGGAGAGGTGGTGCTCGGCGGCGCCGGCGAGGAGGAGGACGACGTGGTGCTGCCGGGGTACCGGTTCCACCCCACCGACGAGGAGCTCGTCACCTTCTACCTCCGGCGCAAGGTGGCCAAGAAGTCGCTCCGCATCGAGGTCATCCGGGAGATGGACATCTACAAGCATGACCCATGGGATCTCCCCAGTAAGTACCGTGTTCATTTGCATCATGCCCTGAATGTTAATTGCTCTTGCTGCTCATAATTATACTGACTGCAGTTTCACTAGTTTTCAACTTTTCATACACAAATCAACTCGTGGCTTCAAAAACATTGGCTGTCCGGAGCAAGAATTTTATCTGACAGAGTGTAATCAACGCAGAGGCGAGCACGGTTGGTGGGGAGAAAGAGTGGTACTTCTTCTGCCTCAGAGGAAGGAAGTACCGGAACAGCATCCGGCCCAACCGGGTGACCGGCTCCGGCTTCTGGAAGGCCACCGGCATCGACCGGCCCATCTACTCTGCCACCAGCGGCGGCTCGGGCTCGGGCTCCGGCGTGTCGATCGGGCTGAAGAAGTCGCTCGTCTACTACCGTGGCAGCGCTGGCAAGGGCACCAAGACCGACTGGATGATGCACGAGTTCCGCCTCCCGCCGGCCGCCGCGGCGGCCACCAACGCCTCCCCGAGCATGCAGGAAGCCGTAAGTGATCCACGCCTGCATTCCATTTCCACACAGAGTCACGGTCCGTGGCACGTGTGATGTGGTGCAGTGTGAATGGTGAATGTAACATTGACCCTCTGACGTGTGACCGGAAAATGCAGGAGGTGTGGACCATCTGCAGGATCTTCAGGAGGACCATCACCTACCGGAAGCAGCAGACGTGGAGGCCGGCACCGGCGCCATCCACCACCATCACCGCGGCCGACTCGAGCTCCAACACGGGGAGCTTCGAGTCGTCGGAGGGCGGCGACGAGTACATGAACTGCCTGCAGGCTCCAGCAGCCGCCGCTCCATACATCTCCCAGCACCAGCACCCGCAGCAGTACGTCAGTCAGACGGGCACGGTGGACAGCGGCAATTTCTTCTACAGGGATACCATGCACAACCAACAGTTCCAGGAGCAATGGAACTCTCCGCCTGCCGCGCCGGAGCCGGAGCAGAAACCACTGAACCCATTATCGGCGGCCGACTCCTTCCACCAGAATGAACATAACCTCACCGTCGCCCCCAACGATTTCCACAAGGTCGAGGCCCTCGACGGGTATTTGGAGGAGATCGCGAGGATGATGGAGGTGACTGATCCGGCAGGGTTTTACGACTACAGATCATACGGTTCATCAGCAGGAAACAGAGGGCCGAGCTTCGTGCGCACCCTCCACTCTTCGGCCCCGTAGGCTCCCGCGAGTTCACCGACGGTCCGGTCCGGCCCCCTCGCTCGCCTCCGTCGCCGGCGGCTTCGGTAACACCATGGTTCGCCCTCCTTACCACACCGGCCGTTCTCTCGCGTCGTTCTACAGAAGTTCAGTATCGATGATCTTCAGGGAAGCTGAAAGGTGGCGGGACAGCGACAGTGTGGAAGCTTCCTGCCGATCCGTCTGCCCAATTCGGGACGTGGTTTACTGTTCCGACGTCGACCGGGTAGTACTTGGCTGCTACCCTCTGGTGCCTAGTGGGTTAGTTGAGTCGGTACATCGGAAGGTCTTGAAGTGGGGTCCCGGCGGCGAGTGTGGTCTCGGGTGGTCCGGTGAGCAGCAGCAGTCACTCACTGCGGCTGCCGTAATCCCCTGCATGCGCCGCCCTGGTCCAGGCGAACAGTATACAAGACACCGATGGCAGTCTTGCCGGGCTAGGCTCATGTATCTGACATGAATTGAGGAACTTGTGGTTGAACTAAATGATTTGATTGGGTCCATCTTGTCCTTGTGAACATGTATCTTTGATAGTGTCACCGAAATCCTAATCCTGTGTGCAATTGAAATGATGTTGGATAGTTTTTTGAGTTAGGGAAAGTATAATAAGGGGCTCCCCAAAACCTATATTTGAGGAGAAAAACTAGGAGTTAAAGGCATTTCTAACTGATCCCCGATCCGGTGTTATAAAGGAGTAAAAATTCGGTTTTACTCGTCTAACTGGCACCTAGCCGATCCCCTAAACCGAATAGTGAAGGATAATTTATCCTCCGCCACTTATCCCACCCTTATATTTACTCGGCTGCTACCGTTTGAAGGAAAAAAATCCCCTCCCCTCCGGTGCCCCACCCACCACACTCCCATGCCGCATCTACGTCGGCACCATCCTCCCCCCTCGCCGGCCACCACCCGCCAACAGGGACGACGCTCCGTAGGCCCAGCGGCTGTTGTTGCCCACCCGGATTTGTGCCTCTTCGCGCCGTCGCCGCCACATAATCGGGAGATCTGCTGCTACCGCCACCCGCCGCCATGGCCCGATTTAACGCTTCCGTCCGCCGGCGACGACGCCTTTGTCATGGATTGGCCGTGTACCGAATCGCACAGCCCCAACTATGCCTCTACGCCGCATGCAGGTATGGTGTCCGCCTCTAGCCGCTCGGATCTCACTCATCGAAGGTTCGCTGGGAAAGACATGCCCGGCCGTCGGTTGGCCTCGGCACTGGCCCTGTAGCTCGTCGGCTCCCCATTGCTGGTTTTTAAGTGCGACGACTGCCTGCGACAGGTGGTGCACCGCGTTTCCACCACGCCAGAACACCCCGGATGATATTCTTCAAGTGCAAAAAAGATGGCATGAGTGCTTCTTTTGATTCGGTTGTTTATCATATTTGGCGCCGTTTCATTGTTTCCTTAAATTTGTGAGTAGGATGGATGCAAGTTTTAGTACCGGGAAGAAGCTTACATCGATCTATTGATAGCGAGAAATTTGATAAATGTTCGCACATTTCTCTATAGAGTAGAGACTAGAGATGAGACTAGATGCGACTCAATATCGAATAAGTCGGAACTGAAGTCGAAAGAAGTGTGCAAGCTCGAGAAGCCAATAGAAAAAAATAAACAATGAAGACATCGAGAAAATATTAATCCAACTAGTGGGAGCAATTATGGAAGTTGGATATATATTAAAGTGTCTAACTGTAGTTCTTATTTTCTTTGGTTTCGTTCTCGTAGCGAAGAATTGGTAAAATATGTGCTCCAATGTATCAAAATGTTGTTCAATGAAATAAAGATGCAATGGAATTTGTTTTGGTGGCCAAAAATTAATTTTATTTACTCCGTTATATTTATAGGACCAGCTAGGTCCGGCCAAAACTTAGTGGAGTAAATATACTCCACAAAAGATTTACTCAGTTGGATCCTCCTTTATTTATAGGGGATCGGTTAGAGTTGGCCTAAGCATTAGCTAGCGGACCCCCTAAAACCAACTTTACTACGATTATAAGTTCGGCTCCCTAAAAACCATCCCCCAAATAACTTTATATGGTCCAACTAGCAACCCTGGACTATCCCTTGTTGATTCAAAGAGCGTGCTGCACATGAACAAGATAATGGAGCCCCAGAAAAGAGTAATCGTAGCCATTATCCTGATGGTGGCGGCAACCATTACATCACCTCCAAGATAAATGAGGCCAAGGACATGCTCATAGGATGGAAAATCCAGGTCCAATTTTTAGCATGTGCAAATCTAGATGAACTTATTTTGCATTGATTGCGATGATGTAGTGATTCGCTTTCCATTGGCACTATTAGCATTGTTGAGCTGATACCGTACATCAGAGAAAAGATACAACTTATGGACCCGAGTAATTATGTTGCCCAGTTATTATGCTACTCTATATCGTACCGCATTGTATGTCATAAGAATGATACTCTTGCGTATATGATCAGATCAAGCGGTGATGTACCCTTTAGGCGGTATTGATCGGCCCCCATCTTATGTCATGCCAACATATTCTATCCCGTTTGGATTGCATTAACCCGACACAGGGATGAAGTGCACTTCACTAGAATCTTACTACAAATATGTCCTTCAGTGTGGACTCTATGTACCATGTACTCTCACACTCAGAGATTCCAACAGACAATAAAAAAAAATTGGAAATCAAAGATACCACTAAAAGTTAAAATTTTCATGTGGCATAATTCAAGGGGGCTGCGCTAACTAAAGACAACCATGTTCGCTACAACTGGAAAGGAAGCAAGAAGTGTAGTGTTTGTACTTTTTAGAAAGTAGGCCTAGGCCCAACATTAAATTAATGACACACTAATAAATAGGAAACGACAAAGATACAAGATATAAGATGCTCAAAGATGAACTTACAGGACACCAAACAAATAAGCAAATCTAAGAGAAAGCAAGACACACTTCTTGATCGTTGATGTCCTCATTCACCAATGCAAAAAAGGACCTCTAATGATTTTTTTGTCGAAAGAGCAAACTCCGGCAAAGGTGCGGATGTCGAGGAATCACCCTAATAATAGCTAGTTCACGAGAGCCTTAGCTCTGACAATCTGCAGATTTGGAGCATAACTCTAAATGTAGACACCGCGACATCATCCCATCGTTGACCGAAATCACCGGAGCATCACGCTGAGGCCGTGGAACGTCTAGGTTCAAATCGGACAGTTCAAAGACAGTCTTGCATGTCTATATAAGGTGAAAATTCACCAAGGAATTTTGCGGCAACCCTGTAGGGTTCCATTGTGAAGGGAAACTAAGGGGACCTGTCCCGCCGCTGGTGCGAATCAGGTGAAAGTTGAGCTGATTAATTAAATGTATTCTAGTTTATGCTGGTATAAGTGAAGAACTCTCTGATACCCCACAAGTGGTTTTGGATGGCAAATTGGAAATTATCCTCTCCTAGATGTCATATTTAGTTCTCATCTGATGTTATGACGTGCCTATGAGATGGCCCTAATCTGACTTCTACCAGATAAAATAAGGTCAGGCATTGTCAGACTTTCAACCAAACTCACCTTGAAGCTTCAAAATAAGCTCTCTTAGTAACTCCGAGTCTTACCTGGTGTGAACGAAGACATCAAGGCATCCCTCTAACAAGCCTTAGCTAACAACATTGGATCATGTCTAAGCTAGGTGATTATGAAGAACTTCATCTAAATTCACTGCGTGCCTGACAGACGACCACAAGAAGACTTCTGGGGAATAAGCAGACAATATACATCACCAGGGTTTACCTGTTACACAAACAACGGATGAAAAAGTTTTCCTATCACGCGAACTAAGGGCCATTTTGACCTAGGACTTTCTGAAAATCTTATTTCAGGTACTTCTGAGCACATCAAGGCAGGTCTGCAGATCAAGTATGGTACGGTGCGCTCAATCAGTCATTTTCTCAACAGCATCAATCACTAGAAGTCTAAAGAGAAGGCCGAAGGGAGGGGGTTGTTGGGATGGATGTGGGGTTTGCCATGTGGTGACACCCTAGGCGATGCTCTGGTAGGAGTACCCCACGTTAAATGAGTCAAGGCCGTGTAGCTTTTGTACTCACCATGATACAATTAAACAGCTCGAGTTCCAATGCAAGTTTGTGTTCTACGTGGTCAATACGTACCGGCCCACAAGTGTTGCCAATAGATATGATCATTGTCTTGAAGGAATACAAAATAATTTCAATGCGCTAATTAGGAAGGTTTTTTTACTTCAAAGATCATGTATTTGGGGCTTGTTGCTTACTGATTGATCTGTATGTCTGCTGAATGTTGTTATGCCAGCTAGTGAAAGCATAAAAAATTATGACAAGCAATGGTTTGTAGCATCGGAATATGTTTCAACTACACCCTTTTGGGCACGCGGAAAATTTGTTACCTTTTTATCCGAACTCCTGTTTGTGCAAATTGACAACACCAAGTTATGCCCAAAATTTTAACTCTTGTCATCAGTGTGGCGGAAAGAACACCTGTGATCGCAGGAAGTTTAAAATTTAGAGAACAATTCAATTTCATTGAAACAAGGAAAGATTCATGCAATTCATACCGTCTACTCCTTTTATTTGTGGGCACGCAGAAGAATTTATTACCCTATTATAGAAAATAAACAAAAGTCTTGAACAGTATGGCAACTATTTTTGTTGATCAATAAGTCGATGACTATACAAATGGTCCAGACCAATTCATAACTGACTAATAATTCATACAAGACCAGAAAGGCTTCCCAGGATTACCGGGGAATGCCAATTCAATACACAATGATGATTTAAATTGTTGCAGTGTCAAGCTACCATCGAAAGCATAGCATGGAGAGGAGCAGTGGACATTCATTGTCGAAAAGTCTGCATTGAATTTCTTTGCTGCAATCCACATCAAACATTTAAACTCCTTTAAACTTCATTGGAGATTTGTAGTGTTCTGTAAAAAGAAGCATATATACTGTAAGCTCATTAACTACTTGACCTCCCGTCTAGTTCGAC